ATCAGCGTTAGACCTTATAAAACTGGTTTGTGTCTCAGTCAGCTTACATTTACAAAGGGATAGTGAGACAGATGTTTCCAAAGCAGAAGTAATCATTCTAATTTGTACCAATATTTGATGAGTCCAAAAAACCCCCTACATACATGTGTAAGTGTGTTAAGTGCATTTCCCATGTGCATTTGCTAGACTATGCAAATAAAATACTATATATATTATTAGTCTAGAACTAAGTGACTGGATTCAATGCAAAAATAAGAGTTTGTGAATGTTTCAGAGTAGGACTTCTGAGGTGGGGAGGTAAACTGTGTATGTACTAAAAAAAACCAGTAAAATTCATATAACAATGCTTCTGTTAGTGCCTGCAAATACATGTTTTCAGGAAGTATTTGCTCCCTCTTCTTTTTCTCCAACACAATGGAGAATGAGCCTATACTCTCTGACGTGGCTACATGAGTGAATCTCCTTAAGATGATAAAGGTACTTTTTTTGCACACTGCAGCTATCAGTGAAACAAAACTGGAGTGTTTGAATCCAGATTTGAACATCCCTTAATGTTAAGTTCTTTGGATATCTACTTTAATTTATATGATGTATTAAGGCTGCAGTATATTTAGTCCTTGTCAATGCAACAGAAACACTATGAGGTAGAAGCTGTAGTCAAATAGATGTTACTATGTCCTTTGAAACAAAATAGGGAGGAATACAAAAAAAGAAACCTCTCCTTTACTTGTAGTACATCATATCTATGTGTTAAACTGCCCTCAATATTCATGTTGATTTCCCAGGGTTTTTTGTAAAGTTTTTTGTGCAGCGCTGGCAGGTGCAAAGGCTTTGACAGGCTGGTAAGGCTTTGCAGTTGGAGGCCCCCCACCCCTGCTCCCCCCGGGCAGCGGGGAGGGATGCGGGGCTCTTATGGGGCTCTTGGCTCTGCTCTTGGTAGGAAGAAGCTTGCAAAGGGCATTATCCCAGGCTTGTGGTATCCCTGTGTCCAGGCTCTATGAATTTCGGTGCATGCAAGTAAACAATATTAGCTCAGGCTCGGTTTTGCTGGTTGTTCACAGGATGATGTGAAGTTTACAGACTTTAAATTGGAAATCAGAGCCCTCTGAAATTAGTCACTAAAATTTCAACTGACTGAACAGAGATCAGAGTTTTGGCCCCGAAAGCTTCAGTGGAGAGCTGACGAGTCCTCCCTGCCTGCATCATAGGTTTCCCTAGAAGATAGCTGAGAGCAACTTCAGGCAAACAGTAGGTTCAAAATTAAAATTTAATCTGGTTGAACACTGAGTGGGAAACAAGAAGTGAAAACTGTCAACTGTGCCCAGATCCATTCAGATCACTTCTAGGGACAGTTTTGATACCAAATTATCCTTGTTATGCAAATTTCCTCACCAACCGGCTGGTTCCCAGTTATGCATGGGGAGAAGCGGTGGCCACATCTGCTTCCCGTTTTGCCGTTTCAGAGACGAGCCATCTGTTTGGCCTCATCCCGAACAGCCTGCTCAGTGCTGATTAACTTCCTCACCCCACCAGCCCCAGGCTCACTGTCTGCTGCAAGGTGTAGATCTTTTTTTTTTTTTCTTTTTTTCTTCTCTGCTTATAAACCAGAACCTTCACTTCTCTCCCAAGGGACAGGAAGGCGTTGGTTTGTGTGATTTGCAGCCTCCACCAGCAGCAGAAACAGCAGCAGCTGCCCTCTATCACTCATAGGTTTCATATGTGTGGTTGGTACAGATAAAACTGGGAATTGTTCCGTGTCCCAAGATGGGCTTTAAAGCAGTGAGACCTTACCTTGTATGAAAAAATAAATATATAAATAAAATAGTATAATTCTCAGTGCAGCAAAAGTCTCACTGCAGTTAACAGGGATCTGTTCCTTTAGCCAGAGGGGGGGTTTCAGCCACTCTTGCTGCATCCTTTTTTTGTTTAAATGTGATGATCTCCTGCCATCTGAAGACTGGCTTTGGATTTCTCACTGCTGTCTAGCCCATTTTCACTGAAACTGCAAATTTTTGGCCCTGCAGTTTTCTGAATACCCATCTTCTGGCAATTAGCACAGAATTTCAGAAATGCTGCATGCCTGCAGCTGCCAGTGACTTTAATGAGAATTGCATGTTCACTAACCCTGAAAATTCAAAGTCCGTGTAGCCATAAAAAAAGATGCATCAAAAATTTAAAATTGAGAAACTGTGATAATGGAGTTCCTGTTAAGATTAAGACTTCTGTTGCCTCCCACAGACCAGGTCTGAGGGATTTTTGTCTTTCATAATGAATTCGAACCAGAATTTGTTCTCATGCACCATTTTCCTTCAGATACAAGAAGTTGACAGTGTTTCATGATGGTGGACACAACCTGGCTGGCCCATAGCAGGGAGGGATGACCTGGAACTCAGACTGACAAGACAGGCAGGTACAGTTTTTTCAGAAATCAAGCAAACATTTTGGTTTTCCAATTGCAACATTTTCAGCTTTCATATTGTCACTGCTGCTGCTGAAACTTGAAGCTTTCAGTGAAAGCTTCTCCTTTATTTTTTTATCATCTCATAAGCTGAAAAAAACAGTGCAATATCGTCAGTGTATTGGCAAACCCAGAGCATTTCTAACCCCTTTTCCCCAAATGAGATGTTGAGTTTCTCCCCCCCAAAAAAAGAAAAAAAAAAAAAGGCAAAAAAAAAAAAAGGAAATTGTTACATTATCAGATCTGTGTGCTTCAGGTCAGATTCCAAGTTCTCATTTTGATATCTACTAAAATAATCTTGTGTGTTTCAGTGTATTTCTTGATTTTAGACTGACTAGAAAATGTTGGTTGCCAAGCACATCTTAGTATTGTTTTGGTGTTTAGATGCTTATATATGGGTTGGGAAGACTGTTTGGGAACTTGAGCCTGAAAATACTCACTCCAGTAGTTGTATGTTTGTGTCTGTATAATAATTCATATCGTGGCACCTACAAGAGTTTCTGATGTAATTTAGTCAAGCTACTGGAGTAGGAAAAAATATAAATATTATGATATTAAGAAAGTCTTTGAAATGTTATAGATAGATACCCAAAATATATTTTTAGGTAAACAAACCTGCATTTAAATCTGTGGACATCTTTAGTTCAAGGACTCAGTAACATTGATTGAGAATATTACATTTCGTCTATTTTTGTGATTATCGTTATTTAACAGACCATATTTACTTTGCAGAAACAGAAATTTATAGTTCATTTCATTGACTGAGAACTAGCTGTGATAGTGAACAAAAGAATTAGGATGTTACAAAGTTCCTTCTTATAGAAAAGCAGTCATAGTTTATGACGAAACCCTACCATGGCAACTTAAGGAAAATTTAGATTTTGAGAACCAGTAAAAGAATTGATTGCAGTACCATTAGAGTTTGGGGGTTTCTTTAATCTCATTTTGTTCATAATAGTAGTTTTACAAATGGAAATATTTCTAAAACTTCATAAATGGTGCTTTTTTGAAGCAAAACACTGATTCTTGTTTTCATTAAATATGTGATGTGAAATTTACTGTGCTGGAATCTGAAGGAAACGGGGACACCTGCAGAGAAATCACCTTTGTCATGGCAAATAGTAGAAATAATTTCTCAGTGTTTTATTTTGAATTACCATGACTCTACATGCAGAAGTAATTGTGTTCTGTAATGACTTTGGCTGGGTGGTGGGAGGGAAAGGTAAGAGGAGAGGGCTGGAAGGGAAGCAACCTCCTCAAAGTCAGTCAGCTACACGCTGAAGCTGTGCAAGTTTTGTGGCCAGGGCCACTGGATAGGAGGTAGCCAGTTTAGGCCTTGACCTTCAGCTGGAGCTGGCTTATCAAGGCTGCCTCACGTAGCTGGTGAGTGCAGGCTGACTGATGACACAGCGGCACTTTTTCTGGCCACAGAAGATGGGGTTGTGAGGACAGCACTGATGAACTCAGCATGATGTGAGCTGCCAGTGTGGCAGCAGAGGCCAGGGCCCTGCATGATGCTCAGCGCTCCCTTGCTGCCCATGAAGCTGTCTGTCTGTCTGCAGCTCACCACACGCAGCCCATGCACACACAGTCACCACAGGGCCTCCAGCTGTACCGACTGACTTCTTCCCCCATTAGGAGAGCAACAGAAATTTCTGGGGCTTGGGTTGGAGTTGTTGACCAAGTCCTCCTGTCTCAAAAGATACAGCTCACTTTGCAGACAGAATTTAAACATTTCCAATTTTTATGAAATTTTTTTTTGTTTGTTTGTTTGTTTTAAATACAATGTTTGCAAAGAAAAATGAAGTTACAATATAAAATCATAGCAAAAAAAAAGTGTAAATACTATTAGAAAATGCAGTGTTTGGGGAAGGGCTGGGAAGCGGTTATTTTTTACTTTTTTTAAAACAGATATAAACTTAAAGCCATTCACCATGTTTAATCATTTTAGGGTTCAGCTAAACCATATCAGGGTATTGCACCATTGCAAAAAAAGAAGAAAAAGGGAGATTACACTTAAACTAGTTTTCTGAGGGCACAGTTTGTTTCAATGCACACACCCCCCCCATCCTATTTTCATGCCATCCTTGCATATATTCATAAATAAAAGTACTGAAACACTCGTTTCTAAACAAATTGGAGATGATTTTGTGCAAAAAAAGAGAAAAATACTGAAAAAAGCAAACCTAAAAAAAAGCCCCGCTGGGAACAAAGAATGCTGTTTGCTCCTGCCTTTAGACTATGCCCTCTGAGACACTGTGTCCTAATATATTTACTTATACTATTGTACTGTTTAATATACAACATCAACATATTCTGTTATATTATAAATAAGAAAACGCCAGATCCAGGAAACAAACCCACTGCGACTCACAGGGCATCATCATGTCATTTGAACCATTTTAGATATATATGCACATACATATGTATATAAAATATTCATGATACACAAAACCACACATGCATGTTGACAAGAAAAGCAACACAGACTCATACATGTGCATGTGTGCACAGAGATGCTGCAACAGCAGTGAACCTCCCCAGTGATCAGAAATCGCATTTAAAAGCTAAGTTCAAGGCAGTCTTAAACTCCACTGGAGCTACTCTTGTTTACACAGTTAATAAACGTGGCTTTATTTGTGTTGCATTTTAGCAAAAGCAAAGAAACAAACCCACCTGAGTAAGCTTCTGTCCCCCTCCTCTTTATAATTTGGGGTGTCTTAAAATGAAGGGTTAAATAGCATTGGGGTATACAGTGGCCTAAATCTAAGAATAGTGGGAAAGAGGTGCAAGAGCAATAAAAGCAGAATGTTTCTATACAGCAAACATCTGACGTCACACAGGACATTGCAGCAGATCAGGGTAATTTGTCTCTTGTTGGCTGGTATCGGTTGAAAGTGGAGAGGGCTGAGCACAGCTGAATGTAACCCTACCAGCTACTAAAAAATGAACCCATTTCAACTTTATTTTAAAAAAAATAAAAATAAAGGAAATTCATCACCATAAGCTCCCTCCCTCTTGAAGGTCCTCTTCAGGTCATTCTTATATGAAATATTTGGTAATACCTCATTGCCAAGTACATTCTGTCTTGAAGCAGAATGTTTAGCAGGCGTTGATAACAAAACCGTAGCTGGGGCATGAAAGTGCCCGACAATTCCTCATCCCCACCCCCCGCACAGTGGCTCAGGCCGAAAGGCAACAGGCAATAATGTCTCTTAAGGCAACTGAGTTATAATGCAGGAGTAGAGGAGATCACCTTTGGGCCTCCAGTTTACATATTTTTGGGGGGTCATTGGCCATCCAGTATGTACAGTGTACCTAACATGTACTAGTAATTTGTTTTCAGTGTTGTGGGTATACGCACCAGTCTGTGGACAATCATACACAGCATCCCCATCTGGGGACAAAGCTACTAGATAGGCGTGCACACATGCACTTTCAGTGTAAAACCACCTCTGTGCCCATGTGTCATACGAAGTGACTGTCTTACAGTCGGCCTGAAAAGCTAAGACATGAGATTGTAAAAGCATATATTTGTAATTCATTATTTCATCAGTATCTTTCCTCTAACTTCAGTGTTGTTGCTCCTGCCTTACACCTGCAAAAGTGAAAGCAGAAGGAGGAACTCTGCGCGCCTGTAATAGTATGTATATATAGGAAATGTATATCAAATATAGCTACATACATCAGGCCAAATTGGCCTAGGTACAAGCGTTTGTGGTTCCATCGAATCTCTTATAATAAACATATGTTCTTGCATGCGCCTGTGAATGGAGAACACGTAGCTATATGAGAAGACTGCTAGTCTTGTTGGTTATAGGATTGTGTTCACTGCAGAATATCCATTTATTATGCAGAGTGGAAGTATTTATACATTAAGTTAATAAGATGGGGTATTTTTACAAATGCTGCCCAGGAAGTATTGCAGCACTGATGACAGATTTTTATGCAGCTGCAAAAATTTCTTTTTTGCCCGATCTTAAAGTACGAGGGCGTTCAGGGAGAGGAATCAATTATTTGGAAGAGGAAGTTAAGTAGAAGCTTTTAAAAAAGTATTTTTTTATATCAGCTGTGTTTGGGGATAAATCATAGAGGTTTTTATTCTAACTGAAGTTACAGTATTTGCAGCAGAACCCATCATGGAGAAGGCTCTTGGTGGACTTCACTCCACTCTGCAAAGTGCTGCAGTCTCAGGTCTCCATTCAGCAAAACACCATTTTTTTAACTTTAAGATTAGTTCCACTGAAGTAAAAGTAACTTAAAGCACATGGTGAACTGATTTGTTGAACAGCAAGCAGGGTTCTCAGCACCTTCACAGGGCTTGGTCCCTCATTAAACAGCCAGTGCCAGGAAAAAAGGAGAAGGCTAACAAATTTGAGCTGGCTGGTTTAATTCAGCACAGTGCTTTAAAAATGATTAAGTGAAACACTTACAAGTAGAGCGACAAAATCTACAAGAGGACACCTTCTGTGCAAGGGGACTTTTTTTCATATGTAAGAGAGGAACATTTGGATATTTTCCAGGCAGTTTAAAAAAGATGAAAAATATGCATAAGGAGACTTTCCCCACACGTTTCTAGCTAGTGCTCTTCCCAACTGTACATCATACTTTTCTAAATAACTAAAACTTTAAAAAGGAAGAAAGAAAAATTAAATACATTGTAACTTGTTTATGCAGAGAGAGGAGGGGTTGCTTAAAGAAAAGTGGGGTTTCATTGGATAGGGAGAGAAAACATTTATTCAGAGAGCCAACAGTACCCTTTTTCTATACATTAAATGCAATTCATACATCACAGAGTATATTACAAGGGTGTTTCTTCTATCTTTCACATACCTGCTCACCTGCCTAGTGACACAAGCAAGGCAAGCCATGATGTCAATACCAGCATCACCCTTGCAGGTGGGAACATTCTACTTTTTACCACCAAAGCAACTCAGAACCCTCTGGCTAGGGTGTCCCATCCCACCCCAGCTGTCTGTGAAGTTGTCTGAGATAGGCCCCTCCATCTTTAGTCAAGTTTAATCTTCCCAAAAGAGTCAAATAATACCAGGAAGTCAAAAAACGTACATCTGGTGTCAGAACCCTACGCTCAGGGTTAAGAGAGAAAGCTTGGCCACTCCTGCCTGTTGCGTCCTCATCTGCATGGTGCATCCTATGCATGGCTAACAGTTTTGGCAAGGGAGGTTTGCAAGAAGCATCAGTTAAGGGAAGGGCTTTCAGCTATGTGACTACAAAAGCTCCTACTTACATTACTAAAGGTTTCTGGTGATCAAACATTTTCAGTAAAAACTTTAAAACTCATTTTAGAAAACTGAGTTGCAATGCATGCTACCAAAAGGAAAAATCTCTTCTTGTGGGAGAAGATAGCTGAACCTTTGATTCTCTTGGTACTTCTACTGTCGAGCTGACTTGTGCTTTGTTGGTGTCGTGGCTTGTGCAGCTCCAGTAACGCAGCTGTTGAGACTAGATCTGTGCTGGACGAGTTTTAACTCATGTGGAAACGGTGCTCCCCTCGAGTTATGTGGGAAGAGAATTCGTACCTGTCCTGGCTATGGTAGCCACACATGTTGCATTCAAAAGGATCACGGAACCCATGGCAGCCCATATGGATCGTATACATCACGTGATCCAGGAAAAGGACTCGACAGTGTTCGCACTTGTAAACTTTCACTTGCTCCCCATTGCTGCTGATCACTTTGAAAGCATCCTGGGAATTGTCAGTACCTGCCCTCAAAACATCATATTGCCTGTTTTCTTCCTTTATAGAGATGCCATTTCTTGCATGGGGACCTATGTGGTTTGTCAGGTAAATTAAACCACTGCGTTCCTCATTATTGCTCTCTGTATCTGTTGAGTCTTGGCAGCTGTTGCTGGGAGAGGCATCTCGTTCGGAGGAGACAGATTTGGCTTTGGAAAGCAGCAACAAGTTTTCCACTGCGCTGTCCTGAGCTGTATGGTTGGAGCGAGCTTGATTGTCCCCAAGAGGTTTGTGGAGCTGATACATGGGGCTGATGACAGGCACCACCTCAGAACCACCTGGTGGTGTCTGGACAAGGGGACGCAAGGACTCTGCCCCCAGGTAACTGATAGCATTATTAATGGCCTGGTCGATAACGTGTGTCTGCATTATCTCATTCTCCTTCTCATAGCTGGTGGTGGCATCGTATGGAAGATCAGGCAGACATTTCTCACCTGCAGTGAAAAACAGTCAGGAGTTAGAGGGTTGATTTCTAAGCAATTAAGGAACCAAACATCATGGACTAATAAAACAGCAACATGGAAGAAAACAGTTGGTCAAATCTACCTCTGTATTTCACCTGAGGTATTCATAGTTCTCGAGTATAGCTGGTCATAAAAATGTTTAATTGGGTTTTTTGTTTGGTTTTGCTAGTTTGTTTTTTTAACCTGCAAAATAATTTGAGGTCTTTGGAAAAACAACTGGATGAAAACAGATTCTGGAAATAATTCTATGGGGACTCATTAGAGCTACAGATCGAGTGCTTCATCCTCTCTTCTCTCTAACTGGACTCTCTCATCTGTCTCCTACAGTGAGCTGAGGCATGCCTTTGTGGTTAGTGATGACAGTGTACCAAGCTCAGTTACAGTGGGCCTGGCCTTCGGAGCATGAAGCACCTAATCAATATTTTTCCCTAAAATATTAACATTTTAGACCAGAAACTACATTTTTTGTTTTAGACCTTCAGTTTCTTACAAATAACCCACACTGGCAATGTGGTCATACGTCATTCTGGAGAAAATTAACACAAACTTATTTTTTCATATTGACACCTCCCCCTCACACCTTGTTTTTTTTTTAATAAATCATGTTAGACACATTAACAGAAGATACGCATCTTCCTAGAAACTTTGTGTCAAGAAGTTATCATCTACAGGAGCAGCCAAGAACCACTGAAAAAATTTAAGTGCACTTGCACTTGGAATATATTTTTCCTATGATGTAAAAGCCCTATACAGAGCAAGATTACCTGTTACTCTGATTTGGGATGCCTAGAGTAAGGGGGGACTCTTTTAATTTTTAAAAAATCAGACTGCACTGATGTATCTCTATCTGGATACCCTAATATTGAATGCTGAGTTTCACTAAGTTTCTCAAAATTCCTGGACAGATAGAACTAAGCAAAACATAGAAGGTAAAAGTTAGGAGTGGGAGAAACTATTTAAATGCACAGATGCTGATTTTATGAACCTGAGAAATCTTCTCAGTGTAAATCATCAACATTACGATCAGGCCCCTAATAAATTTGTGCAAATACAAAGGGGTAAAAACCAGGTTCCTAGGAACTGTCAATAACACATTTGTTTACAGTCCACATGGATTGTCTAGCACTGCAGATCTTGGGAAATTCACTGCAAGCCACAAACATCTCTGTGAGGTGCTGTCACCTAATCAACATGACATTTGCTGGTAGGCCTTGGAAAGCCCTAATTTGTCTGGAAAAAAAAATGCCAATAGGAGCATGGAAAATTTACCAGAATATCTGCAAATTAATTTATCAACAATTTTCCCCCCAGTTTCTACTCAAATTGGTTATTCAAAGTCTGTGAAGAGCCCAGAAAACTAGCATGATTCTATTGCAATGATGGGGCTAAAGTGTAGAAAGTCCTGCTGTCTACATTTCCCACAAGATATGGTTTCATACTAGCTTGTCCATGCTCTGCGAGCAGAAGAAACACTCTGAGCAGTGCCTAAGTTCCTATAAGGCATGTAGGGCACAGACACCTTCTAGCTGCACTGCACAAGCTTCTACTTCCTCTTGTTTCCCTTCCCTATTATTCTGCCAATTTAAGCACCCCTCTAGCTGGGGTGCATTCTTTTTTCTTCCACATTTACCATTTCTAATGCTATAGTTTTCAGGCAGAGTTTGAGGCTGAAGATTCAAAGTAGGCATTGTGAAAGACTTCTGTAAATATGAAAAACCTCTCCTAATATGAATGTATAGCATTGTCTCCAGGAAAAATTGAGGTAAAAATCATTTATAGTCCATGGGCACTGTATAACACTGAAAAGTGGGACTGGTTTTCATTATACACAAAATTTTGGGCATCCAGAAGATGTGATTTTAACAGCTGTTTCTTGGGCAGCATTTGCTTTATGTAGCATAACTGGTTGCTAGTTGCACTGAGAGGATCAAGTGCCCATAAGAAAAATTTGTTTCCAAGCAGAGTGTCTGAAACAGACACAAACTTGAGGAAGGCGGATATCATTTCTATATCTGGGTAGTGCAGGTAATGCTTGCATTCATTAAAAATAATAGCTCATTTCTGTGGTTATTAGAGCATAAGTAAATTAAACTGCTAATGGATTGATGCACTTCAAGCTTTACACTGCTCAGGGTTCTGCAGCAGGTACCTAAATACTGAAAATGCACTCAGTGCATGTGGGCCCTTTTTTGGTTTGTTTTGCTTTTTGTTTTTAACCCCTCTCTTTTTTTGCTGCCTCTTGTTTTAACATGATAAACCTGTGTCAACATCACCTGCAGTTTTCACTTTCTAGTTTGGATGGCCCAGCTCTGCTTTCAGGTCTGGGAGTTATTCCAGTTTGGAATACAGACAGAATTTTACAAATAACTGGGTTAATTTGGTGAACAATCTCACTTTTGAAAGGTAACTATTTAGCCTTGAGAAAAATGAGTGAAGCAGCAGACCATCTTTCCCTTATGTGAAGGATGCCATTTGCTGCTTCTGCCTGGAATTCAGCACGGGGATTGGGATGACACGGTAATCTACAGGAGCAATAAACATGTTTTATTACCCAAAAGCTCTCCTGACCAGCCAGCCCAACCTTGTGTTCATCAGGAATGTACCTATTACACGAAGTAGAAGGTGAGAACTGGAAAGGGAAGGATTTGGGGGCATTTTCTTGTCAGAAAAGTTCATCCTTTTGAAGGTTAGCAAATTTCCATAAATATCTGCTGTCAGTAGGTTGTCTTCCTACACCACACCCTGAATAACTAACTGACAGGAAACTCTGCCCTCCTAAAACTCATAGTTAAACTGGCTGTCTTTACTGTTTTTCAGGGTGAAGAAAGAAAAGGAGAACGAAAAAGCTAGTCCACACCCACAGATACATCACATATAGGATACTTGCTAGTAGCTTTTAAATTTTAACACTTTTTGTCTTCCTGGAGCTTTCACAGAATTAGTATATTGCCTAATGCAGTCAGTTACTGGAGTGTCTAAACAGATCAGGTTTGGCTCATACAGTGGATATATTTTTGGTAACTACCTCTACTATAACTTTTGTCCTTTTATACATGTAAGCTTTTCTTATCTTTGACTACCTCCTGGAATTGTTGCCTTTAGACTTGAAAACTATCTTGGACTTTCATTTCAAACCTTCTGTTGTGCCTCCTGACGTAGCTGAGATTCCCCTTTCCTTGTCTCAGAAATACTAATTATCCTTTGACCCTTGTGTCCTCATTGAAGAAGGTATATTTGGAATTTATGCCCCATAAACTGGTCTTTTTTTGCCTTGACTTTTGACTGAAGACCTTAATGTGTGTTTTGTTTCATAGACTTCAGTTTTTGCTGATTGTCTCCTGTAGAACAGTATTATACATGAATGTACACACTGAACAGAATCTAGCTAGAAATGAGTATATGCTATCCTCTGACCTCCCATGTTTTTATTCATTTAGGATTAACTATACATAGCTGACAAAATATTGTCTGCAGGTCTCTACTATTATGAAACTCACGTAACCACAACTTGGCACAGGCTTACCAAACAGAACAATATAGGTGTAGCCTCCATTTTTATAGGGTAGCCTCCATTTTTCATTAAGACAAAAACTTCTAGGTGCAAATGGGCATGAGGTTTTTTGCATAATTTATAGAATGTACCCAAAGATCTTTTCATTTAGGTAATATTCTCAGACCTAGGTTTATTTATTTCCATGATCATTTTGGGCTGTAAAAGCATACAGAATTTACGAAGGGGTGAAGAATGTTATCCAGCCTATGCTCAACTATTCACAAATGTTGTCACAAACACCAATATGCCCAGACCTGGATGTCATCCAAGAAGTTAATAAAATAACCCTAGAAGTGTGGTCAAATGCTTTCCCAATAGGAAACTTCTATCTTCAGGTTCTTAAGGCAACTTCAGGAGTCTGTCCAGATCTTGTAATGATCAGGTTCATAAGCATTAGAAAAAGCCAGGAAAGAGATTTAAAACTGATCTCCAGATGTGGAAAATTAAACATGCAGAAATGTATGCTGGAGAAGTTTGGTTGTTTTTTTTCCCCCAACACATCACTGTATCTGTTTCTATAGAGATAGATATCGCTAATTTAGTAAAACAGGTAAAATCATAAGGCAAAAGTAAAAATCCTGTGAGATGTTTTTTGGGTTTGGTTTTGTTTTATTTTTTAGGAGACAGCAAACGTTTAACTCTTACCCACAAATTTCTGAGGCATAGAGCTCTTACGTTTGGCGACGTTACTTGCTAGTCTATCCAGCACGAGGGATCTTTCTGACCCTATCTTGCACAGGTCTTCAGCCATTTCACTCTGGTTAGTTTCGTCTTTTATGACTGAAATCAAATGACATCAGAAGGGTTAGGCACGCTTGTTCCATTTAATGGAACTATTGTCTTTAGGTTATTGTTTCTCAGCTAATGTCTTTTAGCTCCCAACCAGCTGGAAGGAGGAGCTCACAGCTGCAGACACAGGACAATTCTGACTCCTGGTAACACAGTACCTCATGCGGATTGATCTACATACATGTTCATGTTTCCCTTGTTTAGGATACAAAATTTAGATTGCAACTGCAAGGTGTCTGCCTGCATGTAATGTAGTCACTCCACCCTCGTTCTACAGCCACTCTGAATTTTCATGAATAAATGAGGTCCTAACATTTACTGGACATGAAGCAGTTCACCTTTTCACCCCTGCGCTGTCACCCCCCACCGTCTCTCTGCACCCCTCCCAGTGGAACTGCCTGTATGATCATTGCTTCTCTGGCAGGAGAAATGGACAAACTTCTCAACTTCAGCAGTAGAAGATGTATTTGCAAGCTACACAAACCCTTCTCTCCACCCTTCTTTTTTTTTTTTTTTTTCCCTAGAATATTTCTATACTTCCTTAATGCAATTTTAGACTTCAAATGACAATTTAAGTTTCTAAAGTCACACCTGTAGTGGAGCACTGATTTCCAGTACTCAAAACTGTTTCCCAACCTCCTGCTGAGACACTGCAGAATTAGAAAGGAGCTTAGCTGTGAGGCTTTAGGAAAGGGAAACTATTTCACTTTCACTGCATTTTACTTCAGCAATTTCCTGCAGAAACAGAAGGGATGTATCGGAAAAATGCACTGCCAAAACAATGACTATGAAAAATGTATGGAAAGGTAATTCTGACTTCCAACATCTAAAGGAAAGGTGATATGCAGCAAGACAGCACAACTGTTGGGGCGTTTTGGGGTTTTTTTTGGCAAGGGAGGTCAGAGACAGGAGACAAAGGGGTTAATTTTACTTTTACCTGCTACTAGGATATAGAAATTTTTCCTGAGCTTGTGAGTTCCTATTAAAGGGAGAAGCAAAAGATGATTTTTAGACTTTGATTCTGCAAGCTCTTTCAATTAGGTGCACCACTCTGCTACATTTTGCCTTCTGTGCCTGCTGAGAATTTGTTTTATCACTGGATTTACTGGTTCACAGAACCCATTACTCTAGTACCTGGGTGTTTCTCAATAGTTGAGAACACACTGTTCCTATGCAATGTTATTTTGGCAATATATCACTGCCACAAAAGGAAGATTATGAAAGTTTCATTGTTCCTGAAAATTGCAAAACCAGGGTCTGGTGGATAACTGGAAGGATCAGGTGAAAAGTCTTAGACAACAACACTCCACAATACCAAATGGAAGAGTACACAACTGGTTCTTGAGCCCCTGCTGCGGCAGCACATACTGCAGTGACAGTAACAGTGACAATGACAAGGAGCCTCATGGAATTATGCCCCAGCCCCATAAGACACTAAAGATTGTGACCAGTGCAAGATATGAGCAGAATTTGGTCATGAAGATGCAGAAGAGTAAAGGGCATGGATGGTACCTAGCCGTCATTGAACAAGCACACGCCAGCATCTTGTGCTAGCTCAGGCTTTCAGATACCACTTCAGGAAGAGACTTACAGAGAATGTTTTAAAGCAGTCTGTTCAACAGGGAAACAAAAGTTTGAATTTATAGTTAAGAGTTGAAATAATCAAGAAATATCTGTTTAGGATATAATAACACAGAATTTCTAACCAGTTCAAGAAAGTGTAAGTTACATATTCGTATTTCAAACTTTTAAAACTGCTATTAAAAAAAAAGGGCAAGTTGAATTACTAATATACTAATTTCCAGCCTTTGCAACTGAAACCCCCTGAAATTTGCTACCAACCTGATAATTGTTTTTCTGTAATTTGGTGTCTGTGAAATTAAAATCATTTTATCTTTCCAAATGAAAATCCACATGTGACTGAAGAATTGTAATTGACCCTTTTTAAACTTAATAAACTATTTCTTCTGTTATTTTATAAAGGCCTGGTAAGACTTCAGCACACTTCCACTCAACTCAAATGCAAAACTCTGGGTAATGTCTCTAACAGAGCTTCACATGGACGGTGAGATTCTAGTCCTCTAAAATAAGAATTAAATTCAGCAGGTTCCTAATTTCATGCTGAATCTCCTTCTCTTAAAGAAAGCAAACAAAAGTTAAAATACAAATACAGTCCCTTGTTCCTCTCCTTACTCCTCTTTGCTGGATCTCTCCCTTATTTGAGTACTTTCTCGATTACATTTATTAGATTTACAAGCTGATGGAGAGCTTCTACCAGTTTAGGTCATTTCAACTGACTTTTTTCTATGTATACTGCACAAAGTGTTTTAAAAATGCTGTAAAAAGCAGTCCTGCTGTAGCAGAATGTCAAATCAGATGCCCTAAGCAGATTTTTGATTCAACCTTTTTGAGTCTGGAATACAAAAATAGAAGGGCCCGAATTATGGCTCTAATAGCTCTATATTGCACCCTGAAATATAGGAACAGTGGTAGTATAGCTACTTGCTTTTCTAGGTGTAACGCAGAATGCACTAAAAATCCCAGAATGACACGCACTCATTTTCAGCTGTTTCATTGTAAATTTTCATCTTTGAGTTTGTAAGGGAAATAATGTAAACATGGAAAAATGGTGTGTTTGCAGTGAAGCTGAATAGATCAGAATGCGAAATACTAGGAAAAATACAGGAAAATGTCATTTTTTAGAAAAGGATCAATTTATTAACTGAGTACTAAATTTTTTAAGAGTGAAGTCTTTGGCTGGACACGAGGTCTAAACCCCAAAGTTAATACTCTTTTTTTTTTTTTTTTTACATTTGCAAAAGCACTCCTATTATATCAAATATGGATTTTTATGATACTTTCAGTATATGCCAGGAAGAAGTGATTCTTCCAAAGCATTCATTAATTCCCCAAGTTTTCATCCCACTGAGATACTAGATATTCAGTACTAAGCTGTCATGATTTGCTATAAACAAAGGTCCATCTCTAAAACTGTATTATTTCTTATTAAAGTTTAGGATTCCTAACACCAGTTTCATCTGTGTATTTTTGCTTACTAAGACTTTAGTAGTAGTTCAGCTACTCATTCACACAGCTTTTCATGTTCTGTGTGCAGACATTCAAGTCCACATGTCAGACACTGAAAATTCAAAACCCAAGACAACAGTTTTTGCTTCTAAATCCTATCACCTCTTTGGGGAATAAATATTGCTGCCTACTGTATATTACATTGAGCTTTCCTATTTATATATTCTCCAGCCCCTCAATAAAATTAGAAGGGGCGTTGCTCTAACATGCTGTCTGCTAGAAGCATCTCAGCTGTACTCACTGCTATCATTATGTGCATATACTTTACATTATTTGATAGCATGTAAAAGCATATTCAGATTCTGTTCAGATATAAAATATTAAATGAGGCATCATTGCAAATAGGTCAGAGAGAACCTTCCATTTTTGTCATTTGACAAACCAAATAGCATATACCAACAACATCAGAAAGGTGTGCAAGAAATGTAACTTACTGGATGGGCTTACACTCCACCACAGAAGCTGGATCTTACATTCTTTATCTAAAATGGCACATGCAAGGGGATTTTGTATGGTTACTTACTCTGATCAATCCCATACCGATCTTTAGGATCTTTGCTAAAATAATCCAAACCCCAATATCTGCTTGCTTGATTTCTGGGCATAGTTTTAGATTTTATATTCTCCAAGAAATTGACTTTACCTTCATCGTAAGACCTGTCTATCAGAGAAGCACAACATCTCCTCACCTCCCCCATTTTCTTTTAAAGGGGAGGTTGGGAAGAAGGCTGTCAACAAATTATTAGCCCTTCTGGACTGTCTCGGTCAAACTGGTTAAATTAAAGTCCTCTGACATCATGTTCTCTTGCTTGGAAGAGTGAGATCAAAGACAGATGGCTCATCCTTGTTAGACGAGTTGGTCCCAGTGGTCAAGCTCCTTAAGTGTGCCTGGGAAGGGCAGGAGATGTGCAATGCAAAAGATTCTGCAGCCCTAACTAGAATACTGATACTAAGTCTTTATTAAGGACACATTCACAAGAGTACTGCAATATAGGACTCCAAGCAAAGGGGAAAGGTGATGAGATGGTGAAGTCATGCTGTCTTGAGATGGTGAAATGAAATTTCTCAGGTCTTTCAAGTGTTTTGCTACATGCCTGAGTTTTACTTTGGCTTTTTGTTTGAGCTAAACAAAAGGAGAAAACGGCCAAATATTTATCAAATATAGAATAAATCCAGATGCCATATAGTACATATGGGTTGTGTTTGTACCTCCCCAATGCAAAAGATGACACAAATATTACTACTGTTCCTTTTGTACTTTTTTTTCTGTGTACGTGACAGGACAGCGTTAATCCCCAAATGGACATGTTTATTACCTGAGTAAAGGCTGCTCGAGATATTCATGGTTTGCAGGTAGTTATGACAGCGTTCTTTATGTTCTTCCAAAGAGCTGCGCTGCTTGTAGCTGCGACCACAGTATCCACACTTATGGGGTTTGCCAACTGGAGAAAACAATTAAGAGATTCAGATGAGGTATTCAACAGCATATTAATAATGGTAAGAACAGGAAAAAAGCCCACCCCAAAAATAAACCCCCGCTTGGTGAAGACAGATTTTGTCAATTTAAAAAAAAAAAAAAAAATAATCTAATGGAAAACTAGTTGTATATCTTTATATCAGCAGGCCAATTCTGTGGGTGCTGCAAGTTGATTTCAGATGATTCATATCAGATAAGGTCTGCAACATTAAATCTTTAAAAACAGTATCTACACAAGTTAGGAACTGAGACACCTTCAAAGGCCTGAGCGTAGTCGCTTTAGTGCCTAGCTCCCACAGAGACTGCCAGCGGGGGAACTGGTGCTGTAGGTACAGACACCTGCCCACAGCTGGATGTCAGTTCTGATGTAACCAGAACCAGCTCAACCCTTTTAGGACAATGTTAGATTTCACGTTTTCTGCTTCTGGAAATTCAAGAGAAATGGCATGACAATTTTTTTTTTTCTGTATTACACCAATTCAGATGTAGGTAGTTCTAGGAATTTACAGTAACAATATGGTTTCATGGACTTCTGGATCTGAATTTTCTGTCTTAGCCCGACAAGACTGTCACCTTATATGTGATTTCACAATTTTAGATGTTTACGCAGCTTAACTTTTTAATTTTATTTACAATTTCTCAGGTTAAAATCAGACTCAGACATCCAAATTGTTTTAAAATGTATTGATGTCAGTTTGCCAGTTGCAGGAACTAACTGCAATCTATAATTTATGCATTGTCTCTTTAGCTACGGAATCCTCAGAGTTTGCCAAAAGTTTCTAGGTGTAATTTCATGTATATATGAAAAATTATGTTTAAACTTGTGCAGTCACAGAATCAACTAGGTTGGAAAGGACCTTGAAGATCATCCAGTCCAACCGTTAACCTAACACTGACAGTTCCCAACTACACCAGATCCCTCAGAGCTATCTCAACCCGGCTCTTAAATACCTCGAGGGATGGGGTCTCCACCACCTCCCTGGGCAGCCCATTCCAACACCTAACAACCCATTCTGTAAAGAAATGATTCCTGACATCTAGTCTAAATCTTCCCTGAAGGTTTAGGAAGTCATGAAAATCAGTAACAGCGAGGGAGAGGGAGACAAAGTAGTATTTTAAGGATGTGCTTTCTTGAATTGGGCCAGGATCAAACAGAAGTGGAAATTATTTTGGACATCTGGGACCAACACTAGAGATCTTATTTAATGTGTGTGCTAGAGAAGAATTTCCTTAGTTTTGTGCAACACAGAAATGTCACTTTGGGAGCTCCCTTTCTGCTACCCAGAACTTGGTCCCAAAGCCAGCTTTCACAAGTAAAGTTACCAGTGTCAGTTCCAGCAATGCAGTTTGGTGGTCTCCTGTCCAAATAACAATTTGCACCTGCATCTTAGCTTGGGAAACTAGATGAGACAACATCCTGCTCTTAAAGGCACTTTAAAGGTGCTAAATAGGTTTGCTTCACAGAAGGTATGTGACTATGGCTTTTGTCAAACAATGAGAGGTTCCTGGCAATGGAAATGCGCTACTATTCAAAAATATTTATTCAGATCTCCATATTATTGTTGACACAAAACACTGAAAAACTCTATCAGAGTCCTCTTTTCTGGAAGATTATTATCTTTCTCTCTCCCACCGTCTCCCTCCTCCCACCCTTTCTCTTTCAAAGTACTTGTAATAACAAGGTGCAACAAATAAATGCTACTAAATGCTGTAAGCATCCACTCCTCTGGTCGAGAATGACTAAAAGACTGGAGGTTTTTGAGACTTTGTGACTTAAAATCTACCATGTTTAGACCTTAAATTATTTCTGTATGTGGATAAATGCCATCTAAACCCTAAAACAATCATCAGCTTTAATTCATGTTTGTAGTTCCATGAAATGAATTACTCACATGAGGCTTGTAAGATAAAACCCTACTACAGAAACTTTTAATCAGTCAAGAAGTATGGGAAAAAACCCAGTTCTTCTGGTGAAGGATCATGGGTGTGAGATGTGTTTAGTCATTTCTTTGCTGCTAAAACACTGTGGTCATCTTACAGCTTGGTTAACCTCAACATGGGGCTACTCGCCTCCCTAGGGTGAGAAGACCTCTGAGGCTTGGTAGACACTAACACCCCTGTCTCCTCTATGGGTGTGGTGACAAGCACCCCTGGACGTTCCCACACCTTCACTTACCTGAGTGAGTCCTCAGGTGTCCCGTTAGGGCATCCCTGCGACGGCAGGCATAGTTACACAGGTGACACTTGAAGGGCTTTTCACCTGAGTGCAACTTTATGTGGCGCAGAAGGTTGCCCTTCTGTGTAAAGGAGGCTCCACACTGGTTGCACTGGAAGGGGCGTTCTCCTACAGGGAGAAGGAGAAAATATGTGAGAACAAAAAATCTTACGTGGTAACAAGCGAAAGATTTCAGTGAGAAAGTTGTTTTCTCACTGCTGCTCTGTGACTTCCACCGGCTGCAGGTTTGATATAACATGAGGCTTTCAGACTAAACCTGCCAGTTTCTTAATGCTTCACTGGCTGGGTCAATTTGATCTGAAAATCTAATTTTTTTTTTCTAAATCAGAATGGCACATCACAATGCAAATTCAAACTCATTTAAATAAAGTGACTGCAACATTTTGTGTTGAAGAGCCACTCTTCCTGATCAGCAGTTTTGGAATAAACCAATATCCAATTTTGCATGTTGTGGCATTTGGTGGGGTTTTTAATGTGGCTTTTTTCAAAGGGTCTTTAAAATATGCCACTGAAGCAGCAAAATAAAAAGGAAACTCATTAAAAATGCATTTCAGGATCACAAGTTCATTTCAGCGTTACATTCTTATATTTAAATGAAAGGCACTTCATTATAACAGTTATAATAACTTCTTTTCATTTACATTTTCCCTGTATTTTCCCTTTCAATTTCTTCTCCATTACCTGTCTGTCCCTAAGCAGCCAAATCAGGAAAGAGACAGAGAAAGAGAGAGAAAGAGAGAGAGTAAAATCACATAAGTTAAGACAGTGCAAAGGAAGCCCTGTACTTCCATGCCAAAGTCCCAACCCTTCTCTGGGTAAGGTACGAACAGAGGAGCTGCACAAATGGGCTCTGCTGTTCTACACTTTGGGCAGACACAGGGGAAAAACCTGAAGAGACACAGCCTTGATTTGTTGAAACTGGCCCCTGTTCTCAAGGAAACGAATCAGCTAGCCTTTGTAAAAATTAATATGGCTGCTGTTTGCTTTTTTATGCTGTTTAAAATCAATATGCTCATTTTTATTTGCCTAGGTTTATTTTCCTTTTTAAATTTCATATAGATGAAACCTTTTCTTAAATCAGAAGGTTTCCAGTTGTACCACATAGGTGTAAAGGGAAATGTAGACATGAGAGCACTCCATCAGCTCCTGCATGCCTATTTCTCCGTAGCCCTCAACTAAGTCAGACCAGCCTTTGAAACTAATTTGCAGAATTCTGTTTCTCTTAGGCATAAATGTAATCTGCTATAGTAATTACAATGCATTGGCAATGTTAGAAACAGCCCAGAGATGTCCTGTTCTTAGTTTTGATTTTTTTATCTAACAACAATACTGAATTTAAAAGTTCAGTGCTGGAGTTAGAATATAAAAAATATAAATACAAGTTAAACAGTTTTTTTCTTCTCTCTTACTTAACCATCATGTATTATTTTGCACATCTAGGACCAACTTGTATGTCCATATGTGTGCGTACACGGTCAGAATTGTAATTTTTGAGTTTTGGTAATGCAGTAGAACAGCTGAAAATCAATTAGCAGCACAATCCCAACCGAAAAATCTGAAAACTGTTACCATCAGGGCTGGCAGCTTTAGCATTTATCAAACAGTAAAATGAATCTACTTTATGGCAAGAGATTTTGATCAGTCAAACAGCTTCAAGCAGGTCAGCATAGTCCCTGTCAAGCTAAATGAGCTCACTTTCTCAGTCCATCAAGAAGCCGTATTCGTCTAAACTACCAGAAGCTGGTTCAACTGGGATGGCCCACAAAAATGCCAGCATTAGCCTTACAGGATTTTCCAATATACTTCATAAGCCATGAACAGTAGTTGCTAAGGGAAAAAGAAAATGGGTAAGAGTCTGTCTCCTTTACCTCTTAATCTTTGGGCAGTTACTCAGCGTGGAAGGTATTTTTCAGAAATGGACTGAAACAGTAATGAAGAAGTCAGTTTGTCATGGGGGACACAAATTCAGAAGAAATGGTTAATTCTTACTAAACAGCTTTTCTAGCATTCATTTCTGTTATTTTTACTCAGAGGAGGTAAGAGGAGGAAACAAAGACTGTAAAAGTACTCCAGGAATGAAATGTAAAGCAAAGTAAGAATGAAATGTATCTCCAGCCTACAGATCTCGCAATTACAGGGTGAAATCTTGCATCGGGTGGAGAAGACAGACGGGTGGAGCATTTCAAATGACACTGCTGCATACCAAATATTTCTACAAAACTTACTGTGGGATCAAATGTAAGGGAAGATGCAATCATGTTGCTGTACAAGGGAAATGACACCACCACCAAAAGACCCTGAAACTACATATAGCTTGGCCAGCCTTTGGTTATCTATGCTGCAACTACTGGGGTGGGGAATGCCTGCCTTGTGAGCCTGGCAAAGCTCCCAGCCTTGCTAGGATGGACACAGTCGCTGATGGAAGGTTACTGGGTGCAATACTATCCCCCCAGAATGAGGAAGGGACAGGACAGAACGAAAAAATACATAACACGTCTTTTGTTTAAACAATCAGCTTTGTGTGATATTATCTCTCCAGTTCTGAACAGCACATGTCTATGCTGGGCAGGTTTCACTGCACGGTGTGTAGCTATGGACAATGATGGGCCCAGCAGCAAAACCTACAATGGGACCATGAGTTGAATCAACCACCATTGCAGTGATTTCCAAGCCTAAGTGAGAGCATGGGGCCTGGACTACTTGTAAAGTAAAGAATATTTACCATCTTAATTGAAATCTTTCTCCTTTCTTAAAAAATAGAACTCAGAGATGTGCATTGCTCTTTTTTTTTTTTTTTTTTTAATACTCATTATTCAATGGGCACTAGTTTTCTAAATAATTTGAGACATTCAGACCCAACTAACAAGACGTAAGTGAACTAACTGGTGACTTAAAGGTACATATAAGGAGATACATACCTATGCACACACACATGTATATGCACATAAATACATACGCACACATGCACACACATATGTGCACGCTGAGCAAGCAAGGCCCGAATCTATACCCTGAGGTGTCAGCACCAGGGAGCAGGAGGTGAGTTTCTCTCTCATTTCTAGATCTCCTTTTTGCTAAACACCCAGCAAGATGGAGAAAATCCATGTACTGAAAGCCCTGGGGAAGGACTGTAAGGAGAGTTGGGCATCTGTGAGCGGGATTCACTCTGCAGACAGGAGCAACAGGTAAGTCAGTGCTGTACAGCTGCTTGCAGACAGGAGGGGGCAGAAATATCAGGTGCTGCTCTGCATATCTGCACTTGGCAGGTGTATTCATTAAAAGTAATTATGCCTTTTATCAGGTCAGGCAGTCATTTTATTTTGGCACTTTAGTGTGTTAGAGTTTTGTTCACTTATCAAATATTTATTTAAGGAAACCTCACTGCATATGCAGGTTTTACATGAATTAGCAGCAAAGTAATTCATTTGCGAGGCTTATTCCTTCACCGGGCATGTATTGAAATGGGCTTCAGCGTAGTTAGATGTCTGTAATAGTATATCCCATTTCTACTTTAATTTTCATAGCGCAGCTGAAAGGAAAAGCAGTCACCACTGTTTCCCCATGACGTCCCTTTAATTTAAACTACCAGCTCCAAGCCTCCACTCCCTTGCCAGCCCCCCAAAAAACACCTGAGCTCACCCAAAGAGGCTGCTCAGGAGAGGAGCTGAGGGTGAGGCAGGAGGGAAAGCAAAGGCTTTCTTTCCATGGAAAGAGTCAGGGGCTCACCTTCACACCCTTTAGTTTTATTAAGAGTAAAAGAAGCAGGTCCTGCTGAGCAAAGTGCAGCTCGTGGGGTGCTTCCACTGTAAGTTTTAACTACGTTTCCTGATTAAAAAGAGGGTCTCGTTGGCAAGGGGAGGGCTCTGCAAAGGGCAGAGAAGTCTTCACGTGACAGCCCTTGTGTGGTAGCACCCTGAGCACCCATGGCAGGCACATGAGTCCCTCTGCCAGGCAGGATTTCGGGCAGCTGGAGGTCTGTGCCAGGGAAACCAGTGAGGTGGCCACAGCGAGCAGGCAGCCCACTTCAAACTCCAGAGACTCAGCCTGCCAGGTGCCAACCAATGCACTAGAAACAAAGGCAGCTCTGCCCACTGCCTCCCTAAAATCAGGTGTGTCCCCATACTCAGCCTTGGTGAAAACACTGCCTCTGACCCTCAGGGACCCAAAACTGCTCTTCTGAAGGAGCAACAGCGTACTTTTAATAGAACAGCAGTCTCCTAAAACAAGCACAAAGACTTCTACCTCTAAAAGCATTTTAAGTTGCAACATTTTTTTTTTAACTACTGCAGTATCCTCTTCAATCCTGTGGGTCTGTTTAAAAGGCCTCATGTCCAAGTCATTTTCCGTATCAACTTTTTATCGACTTTTAAAGGATCACATTAACATGCAATTAACAAAAAAAAGGAAACAACTGACCAACAAGCACTTTATTATGAAGGAGGCTGCAACCTCTCTTCTGAGAACTAGTTGTGGCTTTTCCAATAATGATAATTATCTGCTCTTCCCTGACAGAGGGATTTATCATATTGAATTGAACAGTATATTGACGTAGACAATGTAACAACATTGCTATCACCAGCACTGCTTCTGAATGTGGCTAACCCATGTTACACTAACAGATAGCAGCACCCTTCCAAAGCTTGAAGAGCCACTGTTACAATGATAGACATTAGCACTGGGGAGGATGGACAAACACTCAGGGTTCTCCTCATGGATCCTCTGCGCTGAACTCTGAAACAAATTTGCTAGTCTCACTCCTTAGCAATTCTGGGGAAATCATTTAAGCATAACCGGGAGGAAGTGGAGAAAGAAAGTATCTATGTGTCCACTAGCATGACTATTTCAGTGGAATCTAACCATGGGACAGGTCGTTCTTATCTTAAAAATATTTTGAAATTCCCTCTCATTTAAATATTCATGCAAAAAATATAAAATACTAATTTATTTTCAAAGTAACTTGTGTAGCACAACAGTACAGTTCAGTTATTATCTTTTGACTATGGATGATCTTAGAGTTCAGATCAGAAGCCTAAGTTTTAGGCAGCTTATATCAGGTAAGATGAGACTCACCCTGGTCTTTACTTCTTCATTTGTTTCAGCCTCTTCCTTTTTTGCACTCTGAGACTATTTAGAATTAGAAAATTGAGGCAAGAAGATTCACAGCACTGTATAATGAAAAAACATCCCTATGGAGCACAACATCTTTATGTGTTTCTTTTAGTGTCCCAGCTGAAACCATTTAGTCCAGATTTGACCAGTGACAATGCTTGTTTTTACTTAAAGAAACATTTGACATAACCTCTTTTTTACAAAGACTGCCAGTAGAGTTCCCTTAACATTTATTCTGCCAATCACTTTAATAATCACTAATCCACAATGAGTTTTGCTGCACTGTTGGAAACATTAGAACTGGATCAATTTCAAAGTTAGCCAGAAATGGGTTTTTCTTCAGCAATTCTTAGAAATTTCTTAGAAATTAAACAACACTTATTCACTTTTTTTTTTTTTTTTAGTTTGAATTTTTCATGTAGCCCACAAACAAACAAACTGAACAATTTCTAGCCCAATAGATGGACTTCCATTAAGAAATCTCAATTCTTGTGCTGTCCGAAATGGTGTTACAAAATAACTAAGTTCCAAATGCCCACTGATGCTGCATTATCTTACAAGAGGGAACATGTGCATGATAAAGAAAATAAGTCTTAGTTCCTAATACGTGGCCAATTCTTGTGAACTAAAGGAAAAACTACGGCAGGCCTTACCAGTGTGGCTTCGTTTGTGAACCATGAGCACATTGGGACCGATGCAAATTATCCCACAGATATCACATTTTAGCTTTCCGTTAGGAAGTCGAATGCCTCCAACTCCTGACATAGCTTTGCTGCCTGGGCCATTGTGTGAGCCATTCATTTTCTCTCCCGAGGTATCAAGCATTCGTAAATCCTCCGCACATTCTTCCCCATTCATTTCACAGGCACGCCCATTCTCTTCATCACTCTGAGTCTCTATTTTAATATTACCGGCTGAAAAAAACAATACAGGATGCCACTCAGTTTTGTTACAGAATAAATATGGTGGCAAAGAAACAATCACATCAAAGGAGATAACTACTAAACAATATGTACAATATACCTAAATAACAAAAGCTACATGACTACATTTCTATGAGTTTGTAACACATGGAGCAATGAACAGTGAATATCAATAAGACAAACACAAGGCACCCAGGAGCTGGGAACCCAAACATTACAAGTCTGTTCCTATATCACTTTGATATTTTTGCATTTGTAACATTCATTTTGACAATTGAGGCTAATTGGGATGAAATTTAAAAAGAATCCACTTCACAAGGATTTGTCCAAAATAGTTGTGAAAGTAACACTCAAAGACAATGGACGAAAATGAACTGAAAATGCAACATTCTCCACTTGGCAGGAAGATCCCAGGGGTTGTACTGAATCCAAATATTTGCTTTAAAGTTCTATGGAGTAAACAAGGATAACAGGAAAGGAAAGAGTACAAACACTGCTAAAGAAACCAGGATGGGAAAGGATGGAAGAGAGAATTTAAGAGCAAGAACTAGCATTTGTAGGATAGCAGAATTAGGATCAATGAGTAAGAGGAGACGATCTCTACTGCTATGAGCCACTATTAAAAAACTGTGAAATCAGCAAAGGTGGGTGAGAGAACTCTTTTAACTTTATTGGAAAAGTTCTTTGTGTTATAATCCCATAGGTGACAATCACTTGCAGCTAGAAGAAGAATGAGGTATAAACTTGGCATAGCCTCATGGCATGTGATAACATGTAGGTTGGTAAATTTGGTCTGATATGAACACAGCAAACCTAAACATTATGGAAAAGGGCCAAGATTCAGATCAGTTAATGACAGTATTCATTCCTCTTCTCTCCACAGGACTGTATGATGTTTTGTGTAGAATAAATCATCTTTCCAGCTATTCCCTCTTTTCTAATCTGATGATTTTGGTGAAAAAACAGTTCTTCATTAGGCTGAAAAAGACCATTTCATTCCCCCCAGTCTTGCTTTCCTTTCAGTGAAAAATGTCTTCCTTCACCCTACCCCACCCCAAAAAGGAAAGCATTCACTTTAGTGGCTCGCTGAGTACACGAGGGGTCTGTTTCACCCAGTAAAGATGGGGTCTTTTCCTTTTGTGGAACACTAGTTTTATGGTAGCCTTATTCATAAGTGGTTGTGTAGCAATGACATAATTAAGCTATGGGCAATAATTACCTCAAGAGATGAAAGACCTTGACATTAATTTGAAAATGAAAGGTTTGACAAACTCTTCTCTGCTACACCCTGCAACCTACCAGGTGTCCCAGGAGGATTGCATGGATGTGACTGACAAGAGTATCTGACTCAAAATCCTACTGAGAAACATGCTGAGGGTAAAGATGCTCACAGTTCTGAACACCTCTTGACTGGATGCCTTTTATAAAGTCTGCCAATCTAGGCATTTTAATGATTTTTTCCATTACTGCATTTTTAGTAAAAATCATATCAAAGACAGAATGTGTGCACACCATAAATAGCAGCTTTTCCTTTAAAATGTATGCCCTAAAAAGGGGAATAATTCAGAGTTGGGGAAAGAAAACCATAATCAGTAACTGAACAGTGATTTATAAAGATGATATGTCTGGCTAAAAAGAAGTGATCTACACTTTTCTGCAAATTTAGTGGACTACAACCCCATACTGTCGTTTTCACCATGGCAAATGGAAGCAATAGAACTACTTGGCTTAAGCATATGACAGATTTTCCATAATTCATATACCAATTTTTTTCTCTTAATTATAAGCATAATAATTTGAATGTAAATATCATTATACAAAATAATTACAGGCTCCTTTCCTGCCAGGGATTTGGAGAAGGTGGCTTTTGAAGTAGGCTTTATGTTAAGTTAAAACAACATACATGTGAACGAAGCAAAAAGATCACACCACTTAAGCCCTTTGGTAGCATATGCAGACAAATGTACATTACTGAGAAGCGAAACGACACAAACAAAAATCATAAAAGTAGGAACTAGATGGAAATGCTCTGTAATGAGCTGAGTTTGCAGTATACTTACGGGAAAAAGATTTGGGAATTATTGCATGAAAGTCCCTAAAGCCTTCTGCCCCATATGCAGCTGCAATAAAGAAGGCAAACAGGATACTGGTTTGTGGTACTGCTAGCAGTAAATGTAAAAGAAGATGGCATTATTGCTATAAGAGAAATACCTAGGAGAAAGACAAAACTATCATCACAAAAGCAACACAAGCAATTTAGGATGAAGCAGGAACAGTAGCAGGACAGTTGGCAGGGGAATCCTGACCTGCCCACAATTCCCATTTGTAAAAATGCCCTTTTCTTCCAAAGCATCCAACAAGTTTTATCATGTTTTCTAAATGCATAACCTCTCTTGGGTATTCCCCTTGTTCACGGGTTAACTCCTGCTGAAGTCAAGAGGAACTTTTGCTAAAGTGTCTCAAAAGGCTCAACAGGAGCAGAGCACCTAACACAGCTTTCTCCTGCCCCCAGGGAAACCACAGGCCCCTACAGTGCAAGCCTCCTCTCAGGATTTATTTTTTGTCAGCATGCCTCTGTGTGTGCCAGAGATCTCTTCTTTAGAAAAGGGTCCTTGCTTCTGGTCACTGCAGTTATAAAAAGTGAAATTGCATTGTTTTCTTCTCACGCCTGATGGTCTTATGCAGTGGAAGAAGAGGGACTTGAATTTTATATGCATATTATTGTGTATATTGCCATATTTTTTGGTAGTATTTTTAAGGCTTGTTCTCACAATGTATCTACACAAAAGTAGCTGCACAAACACACTATACATTGCATATTATGAGCAGCCACGTGCAAATTAACATGCCATGGAGCACACTGATACAAGTAATGATGGAGTTCGTTATTTGACATAAGCAATGATAGTGATACTGATTCAATCTTCACTAAAGCTCTCCACAGCTATGCCCCTGGGCTGCCATAGCTGTGCTGCTCAATGAACATCCCCATGTAGACAAGGCCAAGTATCCAGGATGCCTTACAAGTGCATCCATTCAGCAGCACAGTCCACGGCAGGGGCTCACTTCAGGTGTGGACCTCACTTTGCCCGTGAGAGCTGATGGATGGTGAGGCCATCCACCTCGCCCTGGATCCTCACGGAGATTTTATAGGTCTAAGTAACAAATAAAATCTCTTCCTATTCAAACAGAGCACTTTCTGACAAGCTGTTTTCCAAACGAAAGCTAGTGAAAAAAGCCCCACTGATGTAAGAGACACAACGGAAGAGAGAAATTGCTCCAGTAGAAATACTAAGGATTTTTATTAAACCTCAATAAGAAATGGGAAGGGAGGATATTTATCTATATCTATATCTATATATTTATATATACATAGATAGATAGATAGATTTTTTTTTTCTCTTCCTGGAGACTTTGAAAATAAAAATCAAGTTTCTTTTGTGAGAGAGGTTCTTGTCCCTCTCTTGCTACAGTGGGGAAAATCACTCTTGGAGTACTGATGATGTGACAAATATCTGGGATTCAGACTTTTCAGATGCACTGATCAAGAACATACTCAGCATTTGTACAGGTTTCTCAAACAGCTACTCAATATAGTCTCTGTAGAAATAATTTCTGTGCACATACATGTCTATGTACACATACATGCAGACATTAATTAGCTCTACAATAATTCATGATAATAATTTCTCATTGGCTCTTCTAACACCATTAAAGCTTTACTCAATTAATTTACTTCAATTTGGCTGGAGTTGATCTTAAAAGGCTCTGTATTTTACTTTCTTTGTGGACAGTATTGCAATTCATGGAAGTTTAATCCAGACTATTTTTTTTTGCAAGGAGTGTGGAGTGCACACTGAACTGACAGCCCTCCTCTGCTCTCTTTTTACCTACCCAGAGTGTGGAAAAGTTATCCAAAAGCAGGGTATTGGATGGGTCTCTTGTGCTCTCTGGTGTTTACTGGGAGCTTCACTCAGGATTTTCTGAAGAGCATGTGAAATTTATGTTACAAAAATTATTCTGTATTCTATGGTTAAAGGTGGTTTATACAAGTGTTTGAAAAAAAAAAAGACGACTTGTCAAAGGGGAAAGAGGTGTTGATATGATTTATCACTGAAGAGCAGTATAGCTGGCTCAGCATGAGACTCAGGCTGGGACAGTCAGGAAGGCAGGATGGAGGGTGAGGAGACAGAGTCACACTTCCCTGGAAACTGTTGAGCAATGTGGAGAGGAAAGGGAGGCATTTTGCAATAAGTGAAAGAGTGGGGAGAAAGGAGAAACCAAATGGACCTCCTGGGAAACAGGATGTGGAGGGTGGCTTTTAAAGGACAGAGAAATAGGCAGCTGGAAAAAAAGGCATGTGAAGAACTATTAATTTGTTTTCAATCCACTGCCTAGTTACCTTCTCTTATAGCTATGGGACTCCCTCACAGATGTAAAATCCTTTCAGTTTTGTGAGACTTTGGCACCAGCACACATTTAAGTATGTGGGCCAAAATCCCATTTAGAAGGGGGCATTCAACTCCCAAGTCATATTCTTCTCTGGTGGGATTTTTAAAGAAGAAAAAAGCATAAAACCTGGCTATAAAAGGAATTTAGAGAATAATAGAGAAAGATAAATCACACTGAAGCTTCTGGGGCATTTTAACAATAGAGTTCCCTAAGTCCCTTTGATTTTTAATGGGACTTGAGCATTTTTAGAACTTTTATCCCAGTAGGTACTTAACTGTATCTTGTACCATAACATTAAGAAGTTATCCTTTAGCCTTTCTTTGAAAATAACCACTGTCACCTGACTTTTGGTCCATGCAACACCTTGCTTGCAGTTTGTAGCCAACAGCAAAGACCTCTCCTAGCTGCTTCAAATAATTTGGGTGCATGTAATTTTTTTTTTGTTTGAATGGCTCATTTTTTATTCCAAAACAAGTCAGAAGTATTTTGTGGATGTTAGTTGATGGTAGAATTAAAGTACAACAAGAGTTCTTCATGAA